TTTAAAAAAGACAGTAAAGAATGTTAAAACCATGGTGCAATAATTAAGCAACGGAAAGGAAGAGCCTTGTGTTGAAAGTACGCAGTTCTTTCCTCTGAGAATTTAAAGCAGTTCATAAGCAGCATTTGTACTACATATATATTTTTGCTCTTCTCCATCTCCCCCAAAACAGTAGGCCTGTGATAATGCCAAGTTGGAGAACTTGATAATCTAGGCAACCAGGATTCCCAGCAATAGATTCTGCCAAAGAAACTGATGGATCAAATTATGTCCAGAAAGTATCCATGTGGATAGCTTGGCATTCTACATGCTTCTGAAAAGCTTAGAAACTGAAAATCTTATAACAGAGGTAAAATGATAATCAAACATTGGGTTATTCAGGCAAAAAGGCAATTGAACAGTAGTACACTTGTCAGGGAAGGAGGCAATATTTTTCCTGGGCATGAGGAACAGAGTGAGGATGTAGGTAAAGCCATCTAAGTAATAGCATGGCTCGGAGATTTATATAATGATTAGGAATTTATCAATGTGAAAGAATCGCAAAGCAAATAATGTACTAGAATTAGAAATTATGTCAGGATTGACTAGGAGAGGCAGTGCAAGGCCAAATAATAAACTTGGGAAGCTCCAATTATAAGGTAAATCCAACATCATCTTTCTAAGAAATAAAAATCCCAAAGCAAGTAAATAGATGTGCATGAATAGTTAGTTTATTATATTTGCTTATTATATAACCTTTTGGTGTTGGCTACATAAAACTGAGAATAAGTCCTATTTCATATTTTATATTTCCATTATTGCTAGTTTGGGGAAAAGGGATGGGAAAGCAATAGCCATTGAGAACCTCGGTATAAAGAATGGCACACAATAAGAGAATAATTTATCTTGTTTCTATTCTATTCTGAATGCATGAAGGAGTGAGATCACAATAAACAATAATGAGCTGCCAAGACAAAGTGGGCAAATCTTTGAATCAGGCCTTGCAGAGCTTAGAATGAAATTCTGGAAGGAGACTACCAAGAATAGGCCTATTGCCTAAGAAGGAGAGAGCTGCTTAAACATTTCCCATTGTTTGATTGAATCTGGAATGCTGAATCATACATCCCAGTAATATTTAGTTTAGAATAAGAGAGAGAACTGGTCATTTAAAGCAGGGGTCCCTAACCCCCGGTCCGTGGACCGGTACTGGGCTGCACAAACAAGCAAAGCCCCATCCATGAGATGCAGGCAGTACACAAAACCATGTACTCTCCGGTCCGCGGAAAAACCTCCACAGAACCGGTCCCTGGTGCCCAAAAGGTTGGGGACCTCTGATTTAAAGGGTCAGAACAGATCATCTCTGCTGGATTGTCACCTTTTAAATGATTCTTCTTTTCAGTTTGATGAAATCAGTCAGATGGTGAAAGTTTGTCAGACCTATGTGGAAGATACTACATTATATCTCCAGAAGCTATCAGCACAACTTGGTAAGTCATAGAGTGGCTACTATATTTGTATAACTGAAACAAATTCCTAGTGTTCTTTTTTCCTCATATCAAAGGTTTATTTTGCATTAAATATATTTATTAAATTTCTACACTGCATGATTCCCAGTGACTCTGCCTAGTACATATTATCCAATGCACAAAACAAAAAGTAATAGCTTCATGCATATAAAAGTTATAAAAGGGGTTAATTTGTATGTATGTATGTAGTATACACATTCTACCTGAAGTCTTAATTTCGGGTAATCCAAACATTGAAAATGAGTTTCTGTTCAATCTGATTTTCAACTCTATTGTTTTAAGGTTTTAGATTTTTAAATGTTACACAACTCCCCATCACCAAGCATTGGAAGTTAAATTCTATTTTTTATTGTAATAGTAAGGAAAATATTAAACTCATAGGATGTAATTGTATTAATTTTATTAATATTGGGTTTTTTGTCATGATTTAAATTTTATATGATACTCATTTCCCAGATATTGCCAGAACAGAAACTGGCAACACATGAACACTTACTGTTTTACCCTGGAAAGTTGTTTTGGGTAATTGGGGAACTTTACAGAGCAGTACTGTATAATGCAGGGGTGTCAAACTGGCGGCCTGTGGACCGGATGCATCACACGCAGGCCACGCCCACCCGAGCTCCGCAAAGCCAAAAAACATTGCAATACATCATGATACATCACGTGACGCGATTGAGATTGGCATCCATGGTATAAGGCAGCGGTTCTCAACCTATGGGTCGCGACCCCATTTGGGGTCGATCGACCATTTCACGGGGGTCGCCAAGCAAGGCTGTCCGCCATTTTTTTCCCCCTTTTCCGGCAGGTGCCTTACCTCCCTTGGGCTGGGCCAGCTGGTGGTCGGCCTGCTCCGTCTCTGCCGCTTGCCAGCTATGCCTCGGCCGGCGCAGGGGGCGGAACCACACATGTGCGGCGCTCCCGGGCAGGGAAAGTCCTCAACTTACAACCGGTTGGGTAGTCCTCGACCTACGACCGGTTGGGGTCGCGGCATTAAAAAAGTTGAGAACCACTGGTATAAGGCTTTGTCATAGTGGTTTGGGCATTAGGAAAATCTCCTTTTCCTACATTTTATTTCTGTTTTCTGTAAACAGAATTAGCTTTTTTGGTTTGTGGCAAGATTACTCTGGATCCAACCTATATATCAGTATTGCTGATATTAATGCAATTCAGAAGTCATACTGATTTTACTCTCCATTAAGAGAAACTCTGCTGCATTGCACATTGCAAAGATATGTTACATTAACAGATTTAGTTATAAAACGCAGCCTCAGTGCATTTGGATACATGCATTGGAATAGAGAACAAATTGTATGAGAAAGGTTAAATATATTTCGGGCTGATTTTATATCAGATACATTATGAGGAGTTTTGTTGGGAAGATATGTGTCTTGATTTATAGAGATTGTTTAGCAATTCATGCAACACCAACACAATGTGTTGCTTACTTTTCTGCCTAAATACATCTCAGAAAACAAAATCACAATATGAAACTTGCTTGTAGTTTTAACTATAGTTTATTATGTCTGAATTCATAATTAACAGGCTACAAAAATGCCATTTATCTTTCTACAAGTGTGAAGGCTTTACTAAATATTTTTATTATTTAACATTCTTAATAATTAAAACAATCTTTAAACTTAAAAAGCGAAACCAAAACAAAAAATAAACAATGTCTAAAAAGAATACAAACTAAGAAAAAAGGAGAAAAATATATATCTTATATTTTATACTTATCAATAGTCACAGGTTTACTAATACATTCATTACTATAATATAATCAGTACATATTACTGTAAAATTTCAGAAAATCTCTCCCATAATAGTAAATATTGCTGAATTCTTTGATTAGTAAAAAAAATGCTGCCTTCGCCAAAACAAATAGGTCATATTTCCAACAACCATTCTTAACATCTTCTCATTTCTCAAATGATTACATGGCCATAAAGCTTAGCAGATCTATCTTAAGACTTTTAGTGTCCTATTAGGTTTCCACACATGATGATTTTGCTATTCTCCAACATTCATTAGTATCTGGCATTAATACAATATTCTTTTTATTTCAGCATCAAGAACTTTCCTGAGATTAGAGAAATCACCAGCCAGGAAGCTTCTCAGACTTATCCAGACAAAATCATCTGTACTGCCACCTCCATAGGATTAAAGTTTCAGTTTCATTTTGCTAACAGACATTTCTTCAAGACTGTCTCATTCTTTATCTGACTTTCTAAAATTGACTTTGGAAATGTCTAGGCAGGCCCATAGCTGTTAGCAACTTAAATATTGGCTTGGCCATTGTTACTGAAAAGAGCAAGAAGCTGATCTCTCCACCAATGTATGTTAGTGGGGAAAAAAAGTCAAGAAGAATGACAGATATAGCAACTTTTCTTTCTGTGTTTGAGTGTATTTTTCTCCATGCTACGACGAACATTTGGTGAACAGTAGACAAGTGTGTAATAATCTTACGGTATTTTTTAGCTGCTTTTGTCTTGTGCACGGTCTTCAATATTCTGATGCTACGCAGAAATAAATTTTATACTCTTAGATGTGAAAAATCAATTTCCACATAGATGGCAAACATTGGTAAAAGATAGTGTTGATTTCCAAGTAGAATGATTAAAAGTTTTCTGGAATCCCATGCTATGGTATATTCTCTGTCAACCCTGGAACAGGAATTTTCTGAGCGGGTAGGGGGTAGAGCAGAGTTTCAAGAGAGTAAGTACTTATCTATCCATGTTTTGCACATTTAATATGCAATAAATACTAGTGAAGGGTGCTATATTACCATGGTTTACAATACTCTGTTTTAAAGCTCCCCAATTGCTGTGAATTTTCTGTGTGCATATGATATCCTTCATTCGGACTGAGCATAATCTTCATGGGGCTTTTCTCCTTTCTAGTGACCATAGTCATCTTCTAGGTCTAGGACTTGCCTGTAGAACTTGAAGTAGAAATCAAACATAAACTTCACAGGGTCTCTTTGAACATGCTGGTGCCTCCCTCTAGCACAGTGTTTCTCAACCTTGACAATTTTAAGGCATGTGGACTTCAACTCCCAGAATTCCACAGCCAGCAATGCTGGCTGTGGAATTCTGGGAGTTGAAGTCCACATGCCTTAAAATTGTCAAGGTTGAGAAACACTGCTCTAGCATTCGATAGGTCAGTAACGTTACAGATCTCAGCTCCCGAATTTCTGCTTTAACGAGCCCTTCCTAAATTCAAAGGGAGACTAAAAGGATAAAAGGGGGGAGGAAAGGCACAAAGACCGCCCAAGGCGCGTGCGCGCCACGCTATCCCGCTTTTTGTGACGAAGAGAAACCAAACAAGCGCAAACTTTTTCATTGGACGGTACCTGCAGAAACGGCCCGCCAATCAGAGCGGGCTCCGTTATAAACGCGTCCGTTCTAAGGGGCGGGTCGAAAAACTCGGAGGAGTTTCGTTCTGTTCGCTTCCCGTAACGTTCGACCTTTCTGTTCGCGGACGGGGTTTTTTTTTCTCTCTCTCTTTCTCGTATTTTAACGGCTTCCTGTGTCTGAAAACGGTTGAACCGTCCCAGAGCTGGCATGACCGCTCCGCTTACCGGGCTGGGCTGGACTTCGTCCAATGTGCCGGTTGCTGGCTGGATTCCGGTGAGAAAAGCAGTCTCGTCTCCGAGGGAAGAAACCTCTTCCCTCTCTTCACGGCGGGAGCGTGAGGGTGAAGCTCGCGGTCTTTCTTTCCTTTCAGAGAGGCTACCATTACAGTGTTTCTCAACCTTGACAATTTTAAGGCATGTGGACTTCAACTCCCAGAATTCCACAGCCAGCAATGCTGGCTGTGGAATTCTGGGAGTTGAAGTCCACATGCCTTAAAATTGTCAAGGTTGAGAAACACTGCCGCTAGGAAGAGAGGAAAAGCTCATTCCTACCGACCAACTTACATTGCTGGCTCTTCCCACCGCTCCGAGGGCTTTCGTTTCCCCGGTTCTCCCTGCCTCTCTTTAAAAATAGATTGCGGGGCGGGAAGACGGAAGAGCTATTGAAGAAGTCGGAAGCTTGAGTGGAGATTTCCGTGCATCCCAGAAACGCGGTTTTTGTTAACTGCTTGCTTAGTTCAGGTAGTCCTCGACTTATAACAGCTCGTTTAGTGCCCATTCAAAGTTACAACGGCCCTGAAAAATGTGACTTAGGACCGTTTTTCACAGTTACGATCTTGGTAGCGTCCCCATGATCGTGTGATCAAAATTCAGATGCCTGGCAATTCTGACCATTGCTGGGTCCCAAAGTCATGGGATCGCCTTTTGCAACCTTCTGATGAGCAAAGTCAATGGGGAAGCCAGATTCACTTAACAACCAGGTTACTAGCTTATTAACTGCAGTGATTCACTTAATATCTGTGGCAAGAAGGGTTGTAAAATGGGGCAAAACTCACTTACCAAATGTCTCACTTAACAACAGAAATTTTGTGCTAAGCCATTGGCCCCTGAGCGAATGCTGGCTGCCCACCCGCCCATTTTTAAACCAATAACATTTGTTATATGTTGAACATTAGTTTTACAGCAGAGCCTCTCAAATTCTGCGATAGGCTGACCTCCCCTGAAACGATAGATTTGTTTGTGTGAACCCCCTTCCCGATCAATAGTAAACCAGCTACCTGTGATTTGTAATGGCTGTATTCCTGTTAGTCAAGATTCAGACCAGTTTCTGGAATAGAAATAGCCTTGGATACTTTAGTCAGTTATCTTTGCCTATTGTTAAGTACCCCCTTGGTTTTTGATAATATTCTGGACCATCCACAAGACCTGGGTATTGCCTGAGAGGATTGCCCCAGTCTTCATAGAGAGTGCAGCCCTTGGATCCTTTAGGATGGGGTGTCACATGGTTAGTGCTCGCCCCAAAACTATATAGACCGCTGGGCAAAATCTTTTTAACAGGAATGAAACGTCAGTACACCAACAACATTCAGCTGTATGCCATGTCTCAAGGATGCTATATAAACCCTTAATCCTGCATGGAAGCTGCTAGGATTTGAATGCGACATGTCAGACTAATCTTGCAGAGAATGAGTTGCTATACTCTAATAACTGCCTGATAATATTGGATTTAGTAATTAGATTCAATTAGATTTACTGTAATGCCCTCTGTATGAGGCAATTTATGGAGGCAATCTGGAAGCTGCAACTTGTCTAGAATGTGATGACAGGATTGTGGGTGGATCAATCCAGCCATTGCAGGAGAATTCTTTTGAAGTCATTGCACTACCTACTAGTATGCTTTCAGTCTCAAAATACTGTTAATCACGTACAAATCCTTGTATAGTGTGGCTTTGGGATACATTAGATATCTCTTATTAAAGTTGAATTTGCCCATCCAATAGTATCATTTTATAATGATGACTACTGCTGGGAGTCATTGTTCCATTTGAAACCCATGGGGCCTTGGCAGCTCTTTTGTATACCGGTAGTTGTTCAAGCATACGGTTAATAGTCATACTATATAATCATCTGACAGGTCCCACTGTACCACAGGATCACTAAGCTCATTAAACAAAACCATGTTTGGAGGGCCTTTTGGAAGGCCTACAGAGTTGGGGCCAACCCCCCCCCCCAGAGAAAGGATGTTCCACAGGGTGGGGGCCATGGCAAAAAAGGCTTTCCTCATAGGTCCTGTCAGACTTTATTTTATTTATTTGTTAAATTTATTTGCTGCCTATCTCGCCATGGGGATGGAATTCCCTGGCTGACAAGACCCGCAACATTCCTCTCAAGCCAAACTCAGTGGGACAGATAGATGTCACTAGGAAGAGGCGGTCCTTCAAATAAGTTCGGGAGTTGGGGTAAGTTGGGAAGTGGCAGAGAGAAGAAACTGGGCAAGATTGGTGGTAAAAACAAAATCAAGGGTTTGGAAAATTAAGGACTAATTTTAGAAAAAAAATAATTAAGAGGTTAAGACCTTCACCAAAGAGGTCTGAATAATAAGCAAATTAAGGAGGAAAATTAAAGTCTCATTGCAGGTTTTAAAACATTTTCAAAAACCGTATGCTTTTAGGCATTAGATTAGAGTATTGTTTTGAGTGGGATAAATTAGTGTTATCCCAAATAATTGTTCTCTCTCTATGTCCAGTAAAAGCCATTTATTGATGAAAATGTATCTGTTGGAGTTTTAGTTAAGTCTACTTCTGAGCATCCTGTTATTAGAAAAGGAAACCTTGTAAATGGGAAAAATTGCTACTGAACAGGCTTAGCTGTGACAGATAAGGTAGCTAGATAGGTAGGACTTTGCAATGTCGCTGAAAGTGGCAGTGAGGAACAGATT